CAGGCCTTCCCTCCATGATTTCCACACGTAATGCACAGTACGGGTCCCGGAAGAGGAGATTCGTGAAGCACATGGTGAATTCATTAGGATACGTCTCTTTAGCATCGTCACCATGGAACTCTATGTCGTCACAGAGCGGGTCAATTTCCATCCCATAGTAACCAAGGTGATAATTTAACTGTTCGTCCACGTACACAGGTGGGAATAAGGAACAGCCATCGTCAGGTATTATATCTATATGCCAAAAACGAAAAAATAAATAAATAAGTCATATGCATAAGATGTGTGTTAAGCTTTTCCAAGGAATCAGACTTTCAAAAAAAATATTTAACGGTTGAATTATTGTTTTAGAAATTTTTGGGTTAATCTTTATCAATTATCGTAAAACGAGATAATAAATTACTTTTGGGCACGCAAAAATTGTTCTTTAATTGTGAAAAAACACTTAATATCCCTAAAATGTCCTACTAAAGTAAATTATGAATATATCAGTTTCTCGTCTTCATGCCCCCATAGTGAGTTTCAGAAATATTCTTCATTTAAAAAATATTTTTGATCTAATATTGGACAATATATTGTGGAATCTGTGAGAACAAAATTTTCACACTTCAATTTCATTTAACCGAATATTACCTATTAGAAATAGTTCTTAAAATGAGCAATTACAATGCAAGGCATTTTCACGAATCGTTTATTGGAGTTGAACATTTGATACATTGAATTAATATTTGTTTCATTGAATTTTCAGATTTCTTACCGTATATATTCGCCTGTAAAATCGGTCCGCTTATAAATCGGTTGTATTTTTTTTTAGGTTAATTTGGATGGATTTACCTTTGACCCGCTTATAATTCTGTATAATATTTGCCAAAATCGTTTGACATTTTAAATCAATACACTGATATTTTTTCCAGTTTCCTTTAATATTGTTTTGATATAACGCGGATATTTCATTTTAAATCATTACACAAATACGTAATGCACACTAAAGATTAAAATAAAACATAAAATAAACAAAAAGTAGTATCTTATGTATAATCTTTGAATGCATAAATGGTTATACATACCGGTAATTATATAGACTTCGTTCTTCAAATCGTCATAAATATATATAAAATGCTACATTTCACAGTCCAGAAAAATAACAATATCTTAATGACTCGCCTTTAAGTCGGACGTAGAATTTTGAACCAATATTAAACTCCCCAAAACCGACTAACAGGTTAGTATATAGGGTAAATTAAATATTGATTATTGTATCAACACTTGATCCACAATAAATTGACTGAAAAAAGGAACCCTTAGAGTGAAAAAAAAAAAAAAAAAAAAAATTCGGTAAAACATAAATACCTGTCAACATTATTTTGCTATAACAGAATACATTCATTTTTTAATTTCAATGAATTAAAATTCATTTTAATGAAAAACACACAACATTAAACTATTTAATTCGAAATATTATTATGTATTAATTTTAAAAATATTGCTCAAAATGTCCCAAATAGCTTTTTTAAATTAGCTTACTTGAAATTGAAATTTAAAGAAATAAAGTGCATTTCAATACTTACAGGATATATTTTCAAGACCAGAACAAATGGCTAAAAATGTCACAAGCAAAACATAATGCCACATTTTTCTTCTGCCCAGACCAAAACTAACAAGGTAAACGTCATAAATGGTATTTATATTAAAATTCGCAGCACGGGCTAAGCGCCAAAGCTTCTCTCCGGGAACTCACAGTACTCATGGTATAAAGTATCATTTTATTACGCATCTTGTCCAACAATTCTGCATAATTCTCCCCATCAACGATTTTTTTTTGTTTGCAAATCACAATGTTTCTGAGTTTTATTTTATTTATGGTGCAAATTACATTCTCCAATTTCGCACCCCTGCAGTGCTTCTGATAGATTTCTTTGTACATGTATTCTATCTAAAAAGTTTTTTGGCCTTTGAATGTTTTTTATCTATTCTGAATTCAGTTTGCTCTTGATTGGATCATATCTATACTTATATCATTATGTTTTGCCTCTAACAGAATTCATTCTTACACTATTTACTCTTGGCCTCTGTGTTTGGTACGACCATCTTTTAAATAATCTTACGACATATGACCAAATTTAATTCTTCATATAACATTTTAAACATCATTATACCGGAAATTAGTTTTAACTTTTTAAAAAGAAAGTGGTAAGATATTTTAACACAGACAATTTCAAAGAGAATAAAACCAAATCGCTACAGGTCTGCAGTCAGGTCTTAAATTAAAGGACTTAATCGGAAGCCCATCAATGATATAAATTATTGTGATGTCACTATTCAAGTGAACAATTCTTGAACATGACGGAACACGGCATACATTCATACATAACACGTCAATACAAACTCAGCTAATACATTCACTTCTGTACTCATTTTTTAAATTAAGAAATGCTTCTTTCTAAGGTCACAAAATGAATTAATATTATGTTGTTTTATGTTGAAACTTTATTCCGTGAAGACACTAAATTATCCTGAAAAACCATTGCTGGGTATTTGCTATACAAGTATCAAAACAAGGCCCCGCGGGCTGGAACTTGTAGGCAAGAAGAATTAGTTCAATATTTTCAGCGGCCATTTTGTCCTCATAGAAGGTAACATTGAAAGGATCGTTAGATACAAATGATGAACACACAGATTCAAAATACCGTCCATCCTCGGTGTTAGATTCCCTGCAGTGAGAGTCATAAGGAATGTTTAAAACCCTTCCAGATTTATCAAGCCAAAAGCGAAAATTACTGAAATTGAGATTTTGGTCACAATTTTGAACACCAAAAGTATAGGTAGTACTTTGTTTTTTGGATGATCTGTTAATTGCTACTGAGCAGTTTGTCCCGTGAAACTCGGTTTGTACATTACTGTGGTATACCCTCCCATTCAGGTAAAGGAACAGCACTTCTGCTGCAGATTTTGATTGCAGCAAAACTTTTGGCTGATACCTCCATGTGTCATAACACAAAACCAATTCCCATACTGTTGAGTTTTCTTCTGATTTCGACACTGAAAATTACAAAAAGTAGTGTCTTTAAAAAACAACATACAAATACAAAAAAATAATAATAAAAGTAGAAAATATTCCTGAGAGATTGGTAATATGTCCTTTTATTGTTTATACAAATTTTATGCATTTCGTTGATTTCTACATTAATATCAATGAAATACAATGTATACGGAGATAACGAACAGTATTCAAGCTCAAAAGTCCATTAAACAATACAAAATAGGAGGAGAGCAAACATGTTTTTGTTGTTTGTTTCTCTTCCAAATATAATTTCTATAGTTGTTACAAGGACAATATTTATTTTTATACTTTTTTGTACCAGGTTTTATGGAAAGCAAAAGATAACAAACAGTTATGATCTAATACGAGTGGTGATCAAAAAGATCGCGAACGAATAGAATATCTTCCGAAAAAAGGACTGAGATAGGGTTTAGGGTATGTCTCTCGTGAAATTTGTTAAATCAGGGATTTTTTACGAGTTGATGGACATCAACTCAGTTATGCTCTTACAAATGTTGACCTAATTTTGACCAAAGAACACACCTCGTTTATTCAGTTCCTTCTACGATGAATTGTATCACATCTTGAGAAACTCCACATAAATAAAAGCGAACATATATATTGAAGACATGTCAATGTTTCTTTTTTGAAAGGAAATTTATTTAAAGTATAAACAATAACATTTTCATTGACATGCCTTATTGTGTCGGTCCGACAAAAAAATAGTGCATTTTAAACCGCCGAAAAATGAAAGTGCATTTCGTCACTTCTCATATTCCTATATGTGCATATATGCCTTGTCGATTTTTAAAATTTTCAAACAAATTGCATAAAACATTGGTTAATTTTTCTGTGCCAAGTTCGTTGGGATTTATACAAATGGCACATTAGGCCTAACATAGAGATCGAACTAATTCATACGCACCATGCTACTTTGCTTTGTAAACAAAAACACGCAAAATCGGCAGCACAACATTGACTTCAAAAGAAATTGACGGGACTGTGGAGGCTTACTATAGTGGAAATTTTTAGAAGGTACGTAAACATGGTAAATGTAAATATTTGCAAGTAGTTTATCGATAGGACTTCGTATGGTACTGACCGAGTAAACATTAGCGCCACCTTGTTTTTGCGGCTTAAGGGGCCTGATTCTATATAAATTTTTCTTAATGTTTTGTCCGCAAAAGTAGCTTCCATTGTGGTAATGAGGCAACTGCCTCACTAGAAATATTATTTCAAGTCTTTGAAAACACACAAAACAGCAGTCGTGCGACAGGACATGCCATTGAAATTTCGACTAGATTTCCACTTTCTTGAGAGAATCGGTCATGTTTTAGTGAAAATCGAATGAATATTTTTCTGCATGCAATGATACGAAACGAAATTATCCAAGATAATATTTCTACTTGTTGTATCATACGAAAAATACGATCAGAACGAAGCATCTGTTGGAACGTCGCCATTTTTATTTTAGCTAGGAGCGGATCAAAATCCACCACACGCACCTGTTCATAATAATCTGGAATAAGTTATTCTAATTGATTTATGTTTACTCATATCGCTTCAGAAAAATATAGACCACTTTTTTAATGTAACATAACAGGGTGAAAGTGTTTAATTTATAATTATAAATTTTCATTATAAAATTAGAAAAAATATTCATAAATGGGAATATGTGAAAAAAAAATAAACATGTTCTGGATGACATGCGAAAACGAGGCATCCTGTGTCATAAAACTGTGGAATTAACAATTTAAGATGTAAAAAAAAAAAAATAAAGATCAGATCGAGATTTTGATGATCTTAAAGATGATTATGTTAATGATGTCAAGGGCTCAAAAAAGAAAAAGACAAAATTTTCTGGAAGATATCAGATTCAAAGAAAAAATGTCAAAGCAAGTCTCAGCTATTACTTGCATTGCAGCAGATATGCAGCAAGCATGAAACAATTTCTCAGAAGATAGTAGAGGTAGACAGTGTACGTGTTGCTAATGCATTTGTAAGCATTTTGTATTAAGAAGTGGTTTGAATTCCTGCAGACGATTGGAATTCAAGTGATCTAAATTTATTGCTCTGGAAAGATGATGATTTACATTTAAGATGTCATAATAAATAAAATACTCTTGAAATCTTCCATTTTACTTGTTATTTTATATGTTGTTTTAATTTAGAATTTAAAATTTGTTATTTTTCTAGAAGTATAAACCATAAGGGCTAGAGCATAATGGTTCCTGGAAGGATTTGTTTGCGAAACCTTTTTCACTGCTTCTGGAGGTTTGTTGGTTAATTTCTCATTCCGGAGAAATTTAACTCCATCACTACCATGTTGGGGGTTCCATAATGCCAGATAACATCTCCATGAGAGCAAAGAGGTACTTTTAAAATGTCATAATAAATAAAATAACCTTCAGATCTTCAATTGTACTTGTTATTTATATGTCGTTTAAATGATAATGTAAAATATTTTATTTTTCTAGAGGTATACACCACAAATGGCAGAGCATAAAGGATGGCTGGGAGGTTTGATAAACTTACTGTTGTAGGAGAACAATTTCAAGCATTGATGTATATTAGAAAATTGTGCTGTCAGTCTTTTGTATGACTTCCTTGAAGACTGGAACAAATGTGAAATGAAGAATGTGTATCTTAATATTGAGAACTTTTCCTTGTAAAATCACCTCTGGGAAAAAGTTTATTTCATATCAATTTATTGTGTTCATTATCTGATCTAATTTTATATTTGTAATTGTTTTAAATTGCATGGCGAAACACATTTTTGCTCACCTGAGTCAAAAGCTTAAATGAGTTTTTTGATCCGATTTCTTTGTTGTCCGTTGTGTTGTAAACTTGTTACAACTTCATTTTTGTTCAAATGATGCCCCTTCCCCCCTGGGAGCTTGAGACCATTTATAAAGTTAAACTTCTCAAAATGGAACTGATATCTTCTTTTTTTCAAGCCAAGATACTCAGGTGATGTACAAAGTATGTACTTTGTAGTGACATCAGTTAGAAGCAATATCATTTTTAAACCGCAGTTTGATAGCAGAAATTTTATTTTCAACAAGAAAATGTTGGAGGCATATGTTTATTTATATCATATTAATTTCATGTTTGTGAATTTCAAAACCGATTTCAGCTAAAATTTACACTGGAAAAAAATGCAGTTGTCCAACTTGTGTCTATTGTGTGTCATGAAAGAAAAATCTTACAGCTTAATGCAACAAATATTTTACCGTGACCATGTGTTTTTGCAACAGTTGTAAAGTGTAAATGCTCAAGAATATAATTATTAGTTTTCTCCTGTGTCCCAAATATAACTGTGTTAGTACTTTGATTTATGTAGCATTTATTTGTAAATCAGGGTCCTGTGTAAAACTTCTGATATTAAGATAACACACATTTTGCATTCTTAATGCTTGTTACACTTGTGAGAAAATTATGAACACAATTGTGACGGCGACTTTCTCTTTCTAAAAAAAAATCATTTTCTTGTATTTCCCTGTATATTGTGCTTTTACACATTCAAACTGGAAGACTGCAATGTTAAAAAAATCTAATATGATAAGTATAACACTAGTAATTGTCAAATTGATAATGAAAAGTATTTTAGCTCAAATGAGCTGAAGGCTCAAGTGAGCTTTTCTGATCACATTTTGTCCGTCGTCTGTCAGTCTGTAAACTTTTCACATTTTCGACTTCTTCTCAAGAACCAATGGGCCAATTTTCACCAAACTTGACACAAAGCATCCTTGGGTGATGGGAAGTTAAAATTGTTAACAGGAAGGGCCAAGTCCCCTTACAAGGGGAGATAATCAAGAAAAGACAAAAATAGGGTGGGGTCACTAAAAATCTTCTTATCAAGAACCACTGGGCACGGAAAGCTGAAACTTATGTGAAAGCATCCTTGGGTAGTGTAGATACTAAATTGTTAAAACCATGACCCCGGGGGGTAGGGCGGGGCCACAATAGGGAACCCAAGTTTTACATAGAAATACATAGAACAAAGCTTAAAAAATCTTCTTCTCAAGAATCAATGGGCCAGGAAAGCTGAAACTTATGTGGAAGCATCCTTGAGTAGTGTAGATATTAAAATGTTAAAATCATGACCCCCGGGCGTAGGGCGGGGCCTCAATAGGGAATCCAAATTTTACATAGAAATATATAGAACAAATCTTTAAAAATCTTCTTCTCAAGAATCACTGGGCCAGAAAGCTGAAACTTATGTGGAAGCATCTTTGGGTAGTGTAGATATTAAATTGTAAAAATCATAATCCCCGGGGGTAGGGCGGGGCCATAATAGGGAATCCAAGTTTTACATAGAAATATATGGAACAAAATTGAAAATCTTCTTCTCAAGAACCACTGAGTCTGGAAAACTGAAACTTATGTGGAAGCATCCCTGGGTTGTGTAGAATCTAAATTTTGAAAATCATAAAAGGGAAGGGGGTAGTGGGCATCATAGGTAAAGAAAGAGAGGGAATCTGGTAAAGAACTGCATCACCCAAGTTACTCAGGTGAGCGATGTGGCCCATGGGCCTCTTGATTAAACGAGATATTACTTTTGCTGGACATTCAGATACTGTTGTACCATGATACACTGTAGGTATGAAAGAGCGTTTCATTTCATTTGTTAAAATAGGGCACTAATACACAATAAATGTATAATTATAATGTAAAAAGAGATGCTTTCCTTATTATTTCACGTGACATTATTTGTTTATGGGATTTAATAATACAGTGCGTCATCTCATGAAACAGACATCAGAAATCAAATGGAAGTCTAAATTTCTGCAATTTTTAAATGGCAATTTCATTTCCTTATCAGGAAAGCAGTGTTCAATTTATAAGCTTGAACAACCAACAACTCGTATCAGTACTTTCAGCACTTTGATTGAGAAGTGTATTTTGGATAAGCACTCATATAGTGTGACTCGAAATCGCAGAGAAAATAGTAGGTCAGTCTGCATCTTACTGATTTACAGTACAATTAAATTGACCTTTTTGCACTTTAACTTAAACTCTTTGGTAAATTACTTTCACCTCTATCATATCTTACCTGACGTAACAATGGCAATATATATACTTCTATAGTACTTAAAATAGTTTTAATATTATATTTTATTGAAAGAAATCTTAGAAATTAATGCACGATAATTATTGTTTGACCTTTTTGCACTAAAAATTAACATATTTGGGGTATTTAAAAACTAAATAAGCAATAAAACATTTTTTTTAAATCAAGCATTTTACGACTTTCTTCACATTATATATCAAAATATTGAGCTTGAGTAGACCTGCGCTTGTTGACTTTTGCTCAAAATATGAGGAAATATACACCGTTTTCTGTAAAAATCATAGAATTTTAAACTTAAATCATTTTTCTGGTATCATATCAAACATGTAACGCCATGGCTTATGGAATTTTCAGTGCTTGGATGTCTGCAGATATCCCCCTGTTTTAAAACATAATTATGTACTGTAAACGTATTATATTTGGCTGTGTATTCTTTTTAGCGCCTTTCGCGGAAAGCAGCCTCCGCTAAATCAAGTACATCGCTAAATGCTTTGTGTATAAAGGTTTATCCCGCTTCAGACAAGTTTGTAGACAATTGATTGGATGAGAGCTCATCATATGACGCCCTGAAATTTTCAATATTACGTCTCCGAGCAGGGGGTGTATTAAAAATCGGGCACGCGATTCCGTTCGCAGCGTTGTTATTGTAAATAAAAATGGCGGCTAATTAGTCAGCCCCCGGGCTGACTAGTTACGTTAGGATGAAACTGCAAGTGCGCTTGCGTTAATCGGAATTCTGGGAAAAAGATTTGCACAATTCTCCAACCATAGGGCGTGCTTTTCACGCACACTGATCTTGATCTATTTATAGACTGCATTGTTCTTTGTCGTTCTGGACGAAAATTAATGACATAGACTGTTCAGCTTCTAGATGGGATATTTGTCATTTTTTAAATGATACTATGAAAATATTTCATTGCTTCTAGTAGACAATAAGTACATTTATTCCCACAATCGCCACTGCAAGCCGAAGTTTAAATTGTGTATATTCCTCTGGATGCCTGATGCAAGACTCCCTCGATCTTGCATAAGACATGTAGGGGTCGGAATTCACACAACAATCCACTTGCCACAAACATAACAAAGGTCCCAAAATAGTGAAAAAAAGAACGATCAATTTCTTTTCACTCTAATGATGGAAGTTATGAAAACATCACAAGACCACTGTAAGACAGTAAATTCTTATAATTTATTTTATGATAGACATGTAAGTGCCGCTTGAGCACATGAACCGCGGCCACATGTGAGAAATTGACCACAGTGGAAATGCGATAGTGTTGATTTATAGACAGGGTCAACATCCCCCCTTCCAATGAAAGGGGAGAGAGAGATGGGGGGAATAGATTCCAGTATTTTAATCTATAGTTTTGCTATGATGGTAAACATCATCAAAGACATTTTATGTACATACGCACTGCCTGTATATTTATATATTGAATTTCCATTTTTAATTGTTTTCCGTGGCGTTCATTATCTTTTTGGAAGCAATTCTTTTCTTTCCTAATAACACTAAAACGGACGCTCAAACTTAGAAATTAAATATATATGCAGTAGCCCCCCCCCCCCCCCCCCCAATCATGTATTAATTGCCTCGAAATGCACAACTGAAAACTGTTATTTAGTAATACAAGTATTTTAAAACAATCTAACACAAAGTCAACCTTCTTTTATTCATCATAATCTAGCTATATCATTTTTTATAGAATTTAACGTGATCTTAGTTGCCATGGTGACTAGCTTTTATTCATTTACCGGTATGAGATGAACTTTCTCTGATATCTGCGCCGAAGAGAATTTATTGGAAATCATTGTAATGATCACGATGCAGACTAGCTAAATTTTATTCTATGATTTATTATTTATCATGTACAGCATTATGTTACAAATAAGAAAACGGTTACAAGAATTTAACTTTTCTTACAATGGCATTTATAACATTGAAGGAACACAACATGATGGATAAATCAAATCATAAACCATTACAAAACAAGGAAGAAACTTTCTGTATTCCAGTGGCTGACACTCAGCTTTTTTTTAAAAAAGCTAACCTTGTAAACGGTTTACGTAGGTAGTTTAGTTAAATTTCTTGTTACTGTAACGATATTTTATGTTGAATGTTATTGGATTAAAACTTAATTTTTTCATAATATGCAAAAAATATTTTTTTTATATCGATAAAGGTCTTCAGCGGGATAAATTCGTAACACAGTCAGTTAGTGACCTAATACGGATTCATACAGGGTGTGAAATGGAAATCCGTATTGGGACTCGGCTTCGCCTCGCCCAATACGGATTTCCATTTCACACCCTGTATGAATCCGTATTAGGTCACTAACTGACTGTGTAACTAATATTATGTAACGCACATTCAAAAAGCGCTAAATCAAATCTTCGCCAACTTGTTGAAATGTCAATTTCCGCCAAATATCGTACACGCCAAATATAATACGTTTACAGTATTTCTCTATCAAAGTTTGATTTAGGGTTGGGGGCGCATATATTAGCTGTTATCGCATGAAGTCCTTTTATTGCGCTAATTCATCTTCCTTAAAGCCGCTTGGTCCGATTCTAATTGCGAAAAAATATATTCGTTTTTCTTCTTGAAAAATAATTGTCCATAAATTGTTTCAACTTTTGTCAAATTATATCCCCAACGTCTCTTTCTCTTAAAAGATATCAAAATTCAAAAGTTGAATAAATAATTTTTGTTAGGTCACACAATAAATAATCCTTTGTAATATCGCGTGAAATCACCTTCTAAAATTAAATTTATCGCTTAAATGTATATCTCATGAAGAACCAACCCGAGCATTTTTTTCACAAAAATTACTTATACCTGTACACGGACAATATATAAGCCTGCGTTACTAAACTTCCTTTAAAACAAATATCTAATTTTCCTTTATTATCAATATAAAAATTACTATGGATTATATTCAATTAATTCCTTAATTTTAAAAGATATTATATATTATGGCTTCTATTGCTTCTACTATTGAAAAAAAAATACTCGGGTTTGAATTAACTTCATAATAAGATAAAACCGATAGATTTATTTATTTTCGAAGGTGACTTCACAACAGATCTTAACTTCCTGTCAGGAACTTCTGTTTGTCAATAAGGTTTTTGATCAAGTTTTTCCTTGTGAGGATTGTTGTAGTAAGCTATTAAATCAATCTCATAATTTATTTCTATATAATTTAATTTCAGTTGTAACACGTCATTTGATTGGTTAAACGGTTTTATCCATTTTGTATAACATAACTTGCCTACGTCACAATGAGTTACGTCAAAACGTAATACTCCGCTTGACGTTAACTTTAAAAATATGCTAAATCTGAAGCCGTTTCTCCGAAGGAAAAACTGAAAAAATTGTATAATTGTCTACATTGAAATTAAATTATAAGGAATGAAGCTTATTTCAACTTATGTTATCCGATATAACATAACTTGGGATAGTTTACGCTTTTTTATTAACCCCTTCGCGGTTTATAAGCTTCATTCCTTAAATATTTTCTATGTAATGACGAACTTTTATTGCGTAAGATAATATGTGCCTGTTTCGGATTAAGCGACTTTAACAGTGTAAAATTGTTTATTAAAAGAAAAACAGAAAATTTAAAGGTTAAAAAGGTAACAAAAACCCCTCTTACCTTTGTCAAATTTGACAATATCCCCTTCAACAAATGCTACGGTTGTATCGAGGGGAGACTGGAACCTCCCATACATATACGTCCTCTCCTCCCTCGAGTCAGACACATTCATATAAAGGGGCTTTATTTTTGGTTTTCCAAGACCTCGCACAGCTTTGGAATCCTATAAAGTATAAAACTTGATCTTGTCAACGTGTCTTCCCTAACAAAAATACTTAGGCTAATTAGGTAAAGGTTTATTACTTTTAATATGTTACTATCATTTAAACAAAAGGTTCAAAATTTATCAAAATTAATTGGACAATAAACTAAACCAAAGTAAAACAATTAAATAAAAGGAGGTAAAGTAAATTGTCAAAGGCATGGCTATAATGAATTATAGTTCCAAAAGATATCCATTTTGTAAATCAATTGTATTAAAGTTCCCTGTATAGCAAAATAATATATAGTTATTTGACGTGTCAAAGAAATCAATTAATAATTTTTCTCACATTCTGCCTTTGTATCATAAATAATACAATTTACTATTAGACGTTTTACAAACGAGAGGACCATTCTTGTTGAAACTTTATTGCATTCAGTATTACATGTATTTGTAAAAATATGAATAAACAATAAATGTGTAAAAACACTTACACAATGACAAGTGTCGATCAGCACCAACAGGCAAAGAACAGCGACGTTCAACATCCTGATGAACATGATATACCTGTTATAAATACCTTGCAAAATATAGAACCCTTCCAGTTTATCTATGGAATTCACTATTATATATAAGTATTTATAAAGCGCTCATAACAAAGGGAGTTAATATTGAAAATGTCAAAGATGCATTTATTGGGCACCTACTGAATTAAAGGTTTATTTTGATGTTACAATGTCAATGATATGCATAAAATTGAAATCATGATTGTTTAGAAAAGGCAAACATACAATATCTTGATTTAATTTCTTCGGTCATTTTGACGTATACTTCATTAGCGAAGATCTAAATGTACTAAGTTTTATTCAGTAAAGATAACCTCTCAATATGCAATTATGGTACACTCAATGTATAGTTAACCATATTATCGGTGGTTCTTCAAAATGTCAAACATTCATCTATCGGTGAATCAGGAATATGGCATCATTTGAAGATAATTATAATTTGTCGACAAAATTATAATCAAGGTTATTCTAAACCAAAAATCAGAAAAGAATTAGTTTAACATATTGAAATGATTAAGTGACATGGCTACGTATGAGCAAATTTATGTTTAACGTCCATTTTAAATTTTGATTGTTTTCTTCCTAATTATTATTGTGGCCGATATTACATGTGGTACAGGTATTTGAGTCTCAAAGAACGTGTCTGATGTGCATGTCTGAGGAACATGTTCAACAAACACCAAGTACAATGATACATTTTTATACATCATAGAATGGCGTTTATAGAAAATGAAATAAACCTAAAATATCCAGTGGAGCAAGATAATTATGTGATTTGTCGTTTATAAATATTTTTGATTGACTGGCTATACTGACAAAACAGTTATCAGAAAAAATATCATTGTTGAAATAGTAGTTATATTTTCTTTCTTCTTAAATTTGATTTATCCATAATTAATTTTGGCATTAACACATCCCTTTAAACTTTAAATGCACTGATACTCCTTAAATATCTACATCAGCTGATCATCAATTATAGCCATACAAGTATGTGATAAATAATATATTTCTAAACAATTGCTTTAAATACGTATTTCTGTCACAATGTTTAATAGATTTTTTAAAAATATTGTTAGATGTGAAGAGATATAAACCTCCATATACTAAACATAATGTTCATGTTACCCAAAGTGAAAATTGCATGAATCGTTGAAGGATACAGAACAGGGCCTAAGACACACACATCTAGAAAATCCAGGAGTGGGATCCGCTAACGTGGAAAAGTAAGTCTTCTCTGTCGCTCAGTTAGACTGATAGAATTGATAGGTAATAGAATAACCTGTTGTCAATTTATTATGGAATCAAAAGCCTTCAATTGTATCAAACCAGTATCAAGCAGAATGCAACCAAATGCTAAGTTATATTGACTACTTTTCAAGGTTTAAAACAAAATTTCCAAAAAAACGAAAACAATTTGAAATTTCTATATTGTTAACGTATTTCCGTCTCAGTAGTTTGTATCGGTTTGAATATTGGTTGTATTTATAGCATGTTTTAAAGTATCAAAGTTGGTTGACGCTTTCCCAATATGCAGCTGATTGTATATTACGATATAAATGAAGATGAGCATGGAAAAGCTGCAAGTGTTTCTTTCATGAAGAGGTTTCTAGAATAAATTAGATCTTTATTAAATTTTAAAAAGGTGGTTTTTGGAAATAGCAACAGTGAGAATCAATACACATAAGAAATTAAACGAATTTTTGGAAAGTGTGGGTCTACATAGACTGCTTAGATGTTGTCATTAAAGAAATCCAGCATCCTCTGAATACCGACGTCATGGGCTGAGGGACTTATTTTTAGAAATAGATTTTTAAAGAGTAATTTGGTATCATGAGAAGGATATTGAAATAACAAACAGAATTCAATATCAAAGATCATAAAACAATAAAAAAAAAAAAACAGGAGCACAGCAAACATGGACCTCTGAAACATAAGAGGTAGGACCAGGTGCCATGGTGGAGTGAACCGGTCAAATCTCCCTTGCGCCCCCCGTCATGTTTTGGAAACAACGGGAAAATCCGTCGTCAATTCAGTGCATAAACAATGGACAAACAGTCAGCATGAGGACATTAGTCAGCATTTGACCCAATGACAAACTGTATTTGCTGACAAGGTCACTGTATCGACCATAAAACTTACAAAATGATGAGTCTCCAAAAGACTGCTAATATTCTTGTTTCACTAGCTTTCTTGTCAATAATTTTCCTCGTTTATATATATTTCATTTGAATATAGATTCAAAATTTATTTAATTGATCATAACAAAAAAGAAGATTATTAACGACTTTATATATTGATGATAGAATGAGGTGTTCAATTTTGTTGTCCTCATAAAGTTTTTTTATATTTGACATTTATTTAAAACAAATTCTTTTAAGAAATCTTTCTATTAGTATACATGTATATATTAAATTGCATTCCTGCATCAACTTAATGCTCAGTATGTAATTACAGCAGTCATAATAAAATTTTGTCATCTAAATATTTTAACAAAATTTTACGAAAGTCCAATGAGCTCATTTCCGTAAGTAAAAAAAATTTAATTTTTCGTGTTATAACGCGAAACTTTCGCAAATAAACTCGAAACTTTCGCGATATAACTCGAAACTTTCGTGTTATAACGCGTGACTTTCGCGATATAACGCAAAACTTTCGCGAAGAAACGCGTAACTTTCGAATTTTAACGCAAAATTTTGCGAAAAAACGCGTAACTTTCGCGATATAACGCGTAACTTTCGCGAATAAACGCGAAACTTTCGCGTTATAACGCAAAATGTCCGTGAATAAACGCGTAACTTTCGCGTTATAACGCGAAATAATATGCATATAGCAATGTTACTCAGGAACATTGATCTTGACTGACAAATTAGAACATGAACACAGATGGGAACCCTCAGGAACTTATTTGTAAAACATCATTTCCTCAGAAAATGTACTGGAGAAATAATGCGAGAATAGGATAGATTAGTCATTAGAGCTTACCATTGAATAAATAAAATGAATTTTACTTTCTTGTACATGTTTTTTAAATTGTTAAATTTTTGAGACATTATTTTTTAAGGAAAATCTTCAGTTGCCACTTTTTTCAAGCTGTTTTTTAATCAGTAACATTTACTACAACTGTAACACTAGTAAATTAAGAAATCAATCATAACTTAAAAGTGAATGAACAATGTATAATTTCATGAGCTTAACGGGTCAAATGATGCTGTTTAGAGAACAATTATAATTGAATATTGTTAATTACATTTACAAGCATCCATTGTTTTATGGTACGAAACAAGACGCACATGGATTAGCTGCATGCAGCATTGAAAATTATTGGGCTAACATGACAGGTACACAATATATAAATAGTTTTTAAAAAGTATGAAGCCCAGTCTATAAAACAAAAAAAACCTGTTCTTATTTTCATTCAACTTAATAAAAATGTTTTACAAATTGTTTTAATATAATAATAAGTTGTAAATATAAGTACTTTAGTAAGTCATTGTAGTTTTTTGAAGAGACTTACTTTAACAAATCTTGTTTTGCTTCCAGTGTAAATTTTCACCCACACTTTTTCCCCTTTCGTATAAAAATAAGTGAGATAAAGGATTTGTTTTTAATTTAAAATAAACATTTAAAATATACTGACAAAATTGTCATCTTCATTCAAAGTTTAAAATCAATCTGGATCAAAATTAAATTCATGTATTTCAAAGTTACGGTTCTTGTTTCAACTTAGATAAGCCAATAGATGTCAATAGAAATGGACGTCGAACCTCCGTATCAACATAATTATAGTAATTAATGACTAATAGTGATTATCTTGAGAATATATTTAGAGGGTACAAAAGAAATGTTTATCTTAATGAAGTGAGGAATCGTCTTTAAAATCACCCTACGATTTCCTCCTGACTCCTCAATCTGCAAGAAAAAAATAATTAAATAACTTACACTTCTCTAAAACATCATATATAAATTGTATCAAAAATCTTCTTGGCATTAACATAAAAATACTTTTCCTATTAATTAAGGTCAAGATCTAGTCAATGACTTAAAATTTTTGGAACTAGGTCAATTAAAAGGTAATAACTTATTTAATTTAAATTTTCCGACCTTTACAGCTGTGTAGAGTAATGAAGACAATAAAGCATTTTCATTGTATTCAATTTGAAATCATTCTTAAAGTATCCCCGATATCTATATTCAATTTGATATCATTTTGAAGTACAGGTTTAGAAAAAAAACGAAAAAAAAAGTTTTCTGAAAGACTGTAGGCAATATTGTTACATTTCTTCTGACTGAGATGGAAATGAAATCCACAATTAATACATAACATTCTTTGATTTTCTTTTAAATTAATATTGAAAATTTGTTTTATTGTCTAGTTGATCAAAAAATCTGGATCAAAAACACATTATTTTATAAAGCTATATTAATAAAGTGTCATTAAATATGTAAAAGGAACTTGTTTTTCAAATTTGAAAAAATATGCACCTTTCATTTACTAGATCTAAGATCCTTTTATTTTTTCAAATGATACATAAATCACGAAAGTAAATCCAGAAAAAAAATGTTTTCTGAAATATGAAGAGATTATACGTTACTCTTTTTCACAAATAAAGTTGTTGGCCTTATTGCAAGGATAATCGTTCCATTGAAATCCAAACGCTGCATACAAATGTGCACAGTCCTCCTCCCCTGCATTGTTGTCGGGCTGACCAGGGGGCCAGTTGGTGTAGGTCGGGGTGTTCTGGGAAGATGTCCATACCCAAACTCCTTCAGCCTGGATATCTGACAAACCAATCCAATAGCTTCCTAAAATTAGATAATAAACATTTAAAATAAGCAGAGTAACACATTTTGTCAATGTAATTGTTCCCTATATCTTTTGGTCCTTCTCTTTCATAAATTAACTTTTTTTTCTTTTTGGATTCTGTTGGTCAGGTCAGGATTTTCAATGAGAAAACTATATCTTTATTCTTATTAGGTTGACTAAGGTTATATGTCATAATTTGTACTTTATAACGTGACAAATATTGGATAACCATGTCTAGATCTGTAATTAAATATTGACATCAGCCTTCGTTTGAAATATGAAAGTATGTTACATCCAGATCGAACTTAAAGTGACAGGTATATCTAAATATTGATTTTTTTGTAAGTCGCCAGTCGTAAAATATCACGCGTTTGCCCACAAATTTAAAAAAAGAGATAATTATATGATATGATATGATATGATAGATTTTATTTCTTGACTCGGTCAAATACCGATGCTAAATACAAAAGATGCATTAATCAATAAGATTTAAAAACCATATAGTGATATTCTTTAACTTTATTTTTTATACACATGTACATACGAGGGTTGTTCGAAAAGTTCATGGAAGGTGGCAATCTTCCTTATATTACTCACTAGATATTTAATATAATCACAAAATAAAATGTAAAAATATTTGTTTTGTTGATGTGTAAACTTTCATTTCATTCGATTGAACAGAAATCAATTTACTTCATTTTAATTAAAATCAACATGTTTTGTACCCGCGGAGCACACATTACGTCAATGTAACGTCAAAACATAGCGTCAGGAATTTCTAAAAAATACTATCCTATACATTTCCTTTGTTGGGGTTTGAATATCTTTTATTACTTAACTCTGCTTTCATCAGTTAAGCAACTCTGAAGATTTTTAGAGTTAACCCGTTTCTTCTCAGATTGTCCTCATCCAATACAGAGTCTCTGTCACTTCTTACTACTTGTACTATTTGTTTACACGTGTACAACTTGCTTGTGACATATTTTTTTATTCCTCCAACATTTTAAGATTTTATTCGGAATTTTCCTGAGTAACATACAAAATTGCATTTTTATCTGCTGCTCCATGACGTTCTAAAGCGTCATCGTTTTTTGTCGTTTTCAATGAGGACAACATATCCTCTAAATTTGATTTCTTTCCAATGAATCACGATATTAAGCTTTAATTTGGAATTCGAATCGATGTAACAATTCTTAATTTAAGTTGTTTTTCGTTTTTGCTCAATTTTACAGAAAATATGACTACAGACATTATTTAGTGTATTTTTTGTAATTTACAAAATTTTGACCCGCTCCGCGACCCCATTTTTGCATTTTTCAAAATCTGTATAAGTTTTAAATAAATCGGGATATTTAAAAAAATTAATAATACAAAAAAGAAATGAATTTATTGTTAAAATATTTTTACCAAACTGTGATAACATTTGACATCAAATAAAAAAAAGATATGACAGAATTCCATGAACTTTTCGAACAACCCTCATATATTTTCATTTCATCCATTTTTATTGTTAATTTTTAACCTTGTAGAACTAAAGTTGTTAATAACCGCATCATGAAAAAAAAGTACACCCTCCCCTTTTGTTTTTACCTGTCAATTTGTTGTCCAACAGATGCAAACGTAAAAATTCATCCTCAGTCACAGTTTCAATTTCCACCAACTTCGCATGCAGACTACTGCAAAAGGACTAAAAAGAGATATTTGAAAACTGCATATTCACAAAGAAATTGTTCAGGAAGGGGACTGAGGTGGATTTGCATTTTGGGTACAGTTCAAAGAGATTTTCAAAATAGTCATCGAAGATCAGAGGGAGGACAACTGAAAAAAATGAAAGATACAGAAGAAAAATGAACGAGAAAATATATGGAATAATCATGAAATTGGGAAGATGTACACAATCTTGTCTGCATTTGACCGGTAAAGATTTCCCATTCTTATTTGTATGCTGGAATATCAAATAACTTGATTTTTCATAAATTTACAATATTAAATACAGGACAAATATTATTGCTGATATTTCAATTTTGCTTTGGACACTTTCACGTCAAATCATATTTATAAACAAGTACATGGCTTAATTATGTTATTCATTTGTACATGTATACATGTTCAACTATTTAATCATTTTTGCCGAAATCTTATAATTTGTACACAACTTAATAATTATGTAAAATACATGTATCGACAAATGCTACTGAACTTGTTTGTATACTTTCTTGTTTAGAATGTACACTGTGAAAAATAAGATATTTCTCTTGATGAAAAAAGTTTTATCAAGAAAGTTGTATAAGCATTATAAGATATTAATTTTCAAATATGTAACCCATAAAGATAGATCCTTGGAATGTAATGAATTGTCATCTAAAGCAGAAATATCTGATTCTTAAATGTGTACAAGAATATGTGTGACTGTTTCATATGATTTACATATGATGCCCTTTTCATATGATACACATATGTTGATCATATGTGGCAAAGTTGCCTGTATAATATCATCCATATTTCAATTACCACAAAATTATTTTGAAAGACATGAAAAAAAAAGTATAAAAATGATAATAAGTACAACAGTAATATTATACACGTATAATTCACATATAAAGTATAACATATATAAAACACATGTTTAGCACATGTTTCATGTGTATAAATACACCTGTGTTTATTTTTACACGTTAAACACATGTGAAACATATGTTTAACATGTGTAAAAATAAACACCCTATACACGTGTGCTCTTTCTATGTGTTTTACGTGTGTAAAAAATACATGTTAAACACACGTTTAACATATGTTAAACACATGTGGACATTTTTCCTGTATAATTACTTAATTGCTATAGTCTATACCATACTTAGCCTAGTAAGTATGTGAAAGGTAAACTTATAGTGAAAAAATAAAAGAAAAAAAAATACAAAGTTAATGTATTTGATTATCTGTTTTCCTTATTATATGTTAATTCATTTTGAAATCATGGCGGTATTGCGAAAATGGCGATGAATCGAATGGCGATAATTCGAGAATTGACTGTACATATAATGAATCTGATTTATGTCACATTGAAGTATATAAATACGGGCTATCTCGTGGATGTCATCCTTGTTCATGGTGTGATGGTAATATCATTCAGGTATACAAACATAGAAGACTGATAATCTAAAAAATTATAGAGGTGATCAACCTCAATTACTGGCTCAGTTTGAAAAAAAAAACTTTCACATTTAAAATTAATTCACGATCTGATTTACATTTATATTTTCAGTGCAATGATAACATTTCTTGCTAAATAGGACTACGAAATAAGCTAAAATTTAACGGCAGGTAATGTTTTTATCTTTATGATATTTATTGAAAATTATTGTAAATCGGATAGAAACAAAACTACAGTTAACGTGTACAGGTATATGCTCTTTTTCACTTTCATAAAGTCATTATAATATAAGTCATGCTCACGTCGGGTTAAAAACTTAATGATATGGTACTTTTCACCTCTGATGAGAATCTTAAATAAAGCTTTAAAAAGTAATAATGATGCCTAATAAAAATATAAAAGGAGAACGATTTGGATAAGAGCGAAAACTTCAAGACGCAGTAGATGATGCAGCGAAAAAAAATTCACCCACTGCTCAGAGGATCAAAGTACTGAAAATGGGTTAAACATTTGAAGCTCTCCAAGTGGCAAGTGGAGATTCATATGAGTTTAAAAGTTGTGAAAGGGGAAAGGGACATTTAAAAGCAAGGAAACAATAATAGTCTTGAACAATCTTTTTGAAATTGCATCACAAAAATATAGAAATGTGCATAAGCACGGTAAATCATTTACATTCACTAGCATAAAGACTAATTTTTGTATGATTCTTATCTAGATATTTTACCAACAATGAACATAGATAAGTCACAACTAGGTAACGGAATTCAATATTTACTGATGATTCAGTATCCAAAGGTCTCTTGATGAATTCTTTTATCGAGCGAATTGAAAATGTATGCCATATATAATCGTTTTGTTCTTTGCTTCACATATAATTATGTTCATGAATTCCTTCAGTAACTTTGATTATATACTCACCGTCAATAGAAACGCAACACCCTAAATTAAGGGGTGAAAATTACGTACGGGATATAACTTTGTACCAAAAAAGTTCGGACATCTTTTACTTTGCCAAAGCAGTAATTTAACGGTTGAATGATTTTCATTCCATTACCGGAAGTTGATTTTTAGCCCCCTGAACAGAAATCAAAAATTAGCATTTTTAATAAAATTATTGACAATATTTTGGGTTTTCAAGGTTTTGTACCTGTTAATCATAAGTCTTGTACTAAAAGTCCGGAATAATATCCTTCTTTCTTTTCCGGATGTGATGCCTGTATTTCCTCAAAGTAACCGAAAGCGCGCATTTTCATTGCTAATGTTGGAAATTCTCAAAATAAAGAAAAGCGAGAGCTACAGATGCAAATATACACTACATAACGACTTTTCGGAAAAACAGGCATTTAAAGATGCACAAGAATATTTATTTCGCTCAGGTTAAGACATTGATAAACCTACTGCATGATAGAATTCGGGCTGTGTTTGTTGTACCTGGCAGACTAGGACGTTTTAATTGAAGGGGAGATGTTTTAAAAGTTATGTGTTACTCTCTAAGGTCTAGAGATAACATTCAAAGTTTAAATGAAGTATCATTGTTTTGTAAATTTACTTTTTACATTTATGTATTCATTCTTAATCTTATATTTAAACCTTATAAAGTAACACATAACTCTAAAACATCCCCCTTCCGACCATTCAATTACTGTTATATTATATGAACCCTTGGACTTAGAAAAATTCCTATTATTTGCAGTTTCCGTTTATTTTCTTCGAGGTTGCACATACTGAAATGAAATTTGGTGTATAGGGTTATCAAAGAAGGGCAAGATTTGTTTTGGCTACGATTGCGCCAATTTTGACAGAGTTATGCCCCTTGGACATGAAAAAATTCCAATTTGGAGGAGGGGGGTATAATTGTTTTTTTGCAAACATCTTTTGTTTTACTTTTTGATCAGACACATATTGTGGGTTTCCTTCAACAAAAAAAACAAAACAAAAAAAACAAAACACTGCAATTCTTTCTATCATATTGAAGGATACCTACCTCCTTTCCGCAACTCCTCCTATATCGCTGAACAAAATTTAATGATACTTTCAAAGATTTTTTAGTACATAATGCCATTGTGACCTTCTATTTTACTTTGTGATCTGACGCTTTTTTATGGTCTCCGGGAGCAAAACATGGACTTTGCCCCTGTAATCATGGAAAGTCCTGATTGGGGTCATTTATTGAGCTCAGTGCTCATAATACCTCTAGTTTTTTTATATATAAATACCTTTCAATATCTAATGAAGTACTATAAAGTGCCCTACCATGGCCACCATCCAATCCTCAGCATCAACAGCGTCATTGACAAACAAGTAACAGGAGGTTCCCCGGTGTATCCAGCCCCGAGGACAGGAAGAAGGCAGGGCAGTTACAACTGAAACTTAGTCAAAGTTATAGAAGATATGTAAAACAGTAAAATATTTCCATATCTTTACTTTCATTTTTGAACTGAAATAATGTTCTTTTATGACTGGACGAAATTCAAATATTAAATTGTTTAGATGAATATTAAAACCCTGCATCTTTTTTTAAATTTCATTTTACCTTAAAATTTATTAAAAAGATATTATTTTAGATTAAAAATCATTACCTGCAAACAGAAGATATATTGCAGTAATAGTGGCAACCATATTGTACAGGAGTTTTGTCTGTTCCTTATCTCATTTGACATATAAAAGGCGGATTAGTCATTATATTCTGAAAAATCTGTAAATAGTACAGTATGCGGAGAGTGCATTAACACACACCCCATGAAATCCCAGAGATGGAATCAAATTTCTAGGAAAAGCAAACATACATGTAGCTGTAATGCAGAACTTGAAGAGATTTCTGAAGCAAACATGTACTAAAAAATTGAAACACGTTATTTTATTCAATTTGCAAACAGATTGTGTTTTTTTTTTGTTTTATCCAATCTTTTTGATGGTAGGTATTAGTATATCACTGCCTGATTTATGACATGTTCAACTTCAGGGAGTCAGCTTGCATATCATGAGTGATTGTATATTGTTGAACGTCCCTCTCGAGAATTTTTCACTCATATGGAGACACCACCACTTGCCGGTGGACATCTGCAATTTTTGTCCTATACTTGGCACTTAGGGCCATTGAGCAGGAAGGGATCATTTTAGTGAAGCACCTACTGCGACACGGGACCTCGGTCTCACCCGAAGGACCAGTCTCCACGTCCCACAGTGGGATTCGAACCCACGACGTAAGGATTGACTCCTTACTTTGCAAGTCTAGAGCAGACGCGCTAACCACTGTGCCTTGCGGGTGACTGCATATTATGATGCCAAATCTCTGTGTTCTTGAAACGTTTACTCTAGTCTTTAATGAACCTCTTACTATGTGCATGTTTTCTTTGCGTCATTTACGTGCATAAATGGCAGTTTTTTTCACTTTCAATACTGCTGTTATTTTCTTTTAATTAATCTCAAAACTGGCTCATTTGACTGTGTTTTGAGATTTAACAATAATAAAGAAACATGAAGAGTAAAGCTATATTTGATCCAACTTTTATTTAGGTATTAAATCAAGTAGAATACTTTGGTGTTCTGAATCAAAATTAAAGCAATAATGCATTATTATCGCGGTCCAGAATTGTACATCTCTTTCGGTTGTTTTAAATTGAATAATTAATATTAAAAGGAGACTAGCCTATTGAACATCTCTCTCCCCTCTCTTTCTTTCTCTCTATCTCCCATCTCTTTCTTTCTCTCTAGAAAGAGGTAAAGCCACGAATCATCATATTTGGCCCCATGTTTTTCACAAAAATCGAGTTTCTATTCAAGGCCGGTATTATACGTTAATTATTAGAGGACAACATACTTCTTTTCCTTACGTAACTCATTTTGTTAAATAATGCGCTGTTAGGCACGTGCGGTTGTTTGAAGATGCGACGGTTTCAAAAAAACGTTCAAAAATGCCGATTTTTCGACAGAATTTCCCAAAATTAAGTGTGGCCACAGCCAAGAACAACTTTCATACTTACCATGTGTATAAACATTGCTGATACGAATCTACACGCTTAATATAATCGTTGTTCATACGTGTGGCCAATATGAAATATGACTTTACATTTAAATTTTGATGTCGCAAACATTCACCAGTTCTGTTAATCATTCAGTATTATTTGGTTTATATAACAATAGTTATATAAAAATTTCACAAAACATTTTTTAAAAATGCTCAGTAGTTCGTTTGAAACGGTATTTGTAGAGAGGCATGATCTTCGATTGATATTATCTGTATTCAAAACTCAAAAACATACATAAAAACGTTACATTTCTCCACGAACATGACGTTAAAAGTAATACATATACGTCATTTTAATTGTGACGTCATAAAAACTGTAATTATTTTAGATGGTGCTCTTTCAAATTATTGAATTTTTTTTTCAAGATGAATCACTTAAACTTTACCTCGATGATATCATTAAATTATCAACAGAGCTCTACTTGTATTATCGCCAAGTTCACCCATTTCAATCGCCTGTTTTTATTCTAAAGTTGTACACGTACACTATTTTCGTTTGAATTTTTTTTAAATTATAGGATACTAATGTTATTCTAAAGACAAATCTTAATACTGCTTTACATGATTACTAGATTACTAGCCTGTAAATTACGGATCTTGATTTTTTTCAGAAGGGGGATCGAATAGGAATAGAGAAAGATAAACAGGTCCAGGGATGTAGTATCGTTTTAAAAGTGGAAGAGTCGTCAGACTGGGAAAAAATTATGAACTTAGAACCTAAAAGTTTTTGACAAAGAAAGGAGAATAAATCTAAATTCTCCGAACCCGTAAATCCAATTTTGTTTTCACGATCGAATTTCTACATATGATACTACATGAGCTCTTCAGTGAAATTTTCAACATAAAAGAAGCACAACAAAAATTTAGGACTCTTCTTTCTCTCTCTCTCTCTCTCTCTCTCTCTCTCTCTCTTTTTAGCAAATTCGAATAATAGAATTCCACCCTTTCTGGATCCATTACTGTAAAAACAGGGAAAATCATAATCACGTCTGTGACCTTCGTAATGCAAGCAAAATAAAATTGGGCAAGCTAAATGCTAAAATATTAATGAAAAAAAATTAAAAAATGTACGAAATTGAAGGATTTAGATAGTAATTGTCTGCAATTTCACGAAACAAAATCTAGAAATTGGATGAGTATATGTCAATTTCAAGTTCCTTATAATATTACGGGAGGTAGAGTCAGTACTGTTACATATTATAGCCGCAATTTACATATGTATATCAGCCGTCGATCTAATTTACTTTTAAACAAAATCTTAGATAATTTTATGTACAAAAGTAAATTTTCATCCTGCTTCAAAAGCAAAAATGGTATAATGATGCTGTGTGGTAGCTTTGCATTATGGATATCGATGGATGTACCGTATATGTATATACCCATATACTATATACTGATATTTTCATCAATATTTCAAACAAATATATTTCCATTTGGCAAAAATATAAAATACATAAATATTTCAGCGTCTTCGTGTGTCTTAGAATTTAGTATTTATAGAATATTTTCGGAACGCCTCCTTTGCAATGTGCTTTAAATATTTATCTGACAGTGTAAGTTTTACAAATATTTCATTAGTAATCTATGCTTCAGGTTGTCAGTTAGTTGGAGGTAGATGCAAGGGCAAATCTATAGAGAAATTATACCTACATACTAAGTCGAAAAAAAAATCAATTTTTACCAATGAAAAAACTGACAAAGTGAAAAAAATCTATTTGATAGCGGGGGGGGGGTCATTCATAAAATACTTGCATACATGTATGATTATTATGATCGACAGGGTAGGGTATTTTTTTCTTTATTCTATAATTGATAACTTAATATCTAAAAATATCCCCGGTTGATCAGCTACATGTACATTGATTTTGTAATTTGTTGCATGGTCGTCAGCTTTCCATATCACAACAGCGGGGTGATCTTTAATCTTTAAAATATTGTTAAATATACTATAGATCTTTAACTGCATAACATATAACTGGCCTTGATCTACACTTAAACGGATTAACATATATTCCAGTTCAGTTAATGCATTGGGTGTCCCAGAATATCAGAATTATCTCGTACATGTAATTCTGTTGCCTTCACAGATCATAATTTTAGAATATGCTAGCTTGGTATTTAGGATGAGTAATTTTCACATTTTTCCTCTCTGCTGAGATGATAGCATTTTGATAAGAATTCGTTGAATTTGTATAAGTTATAAAAGTTACCTCCTTTGTCTGTATACCCGGTATCCATCCATGCGCGGATCTGGGGGTGGGGGGGGGGGTTCGGCTGGGATTTGCGGAGTTACTACATTTGTAAATACCTATACTAAACTAAGTAAAAGTGACTTTGGATCCCTCCTAGAAGACACTGACCTTATCTTCGAAACGCTGTAATCTGTGTTGAGTTTGTATGAAAAGTCATGGTTTTTTATGTATGGGAAACACAAGCATCGTCGCAAACCACGTCCAAAATGCACGATACTCTCCCATTCTCGAGGAAAAAGCTGTATGCGGACTCCAGACCGTGTCTTAAGACAATGGGGAAACAATCCGAAACATGGGAAAGCAGTTTATTGGTTTATTTTGTTTATAATTTTTTTCCTTGCTGTTTATTTATTTTGTTTTTTGGGTTGTTTTTTTTTTTAATTTTATTTTTTACAAGAGATTTCTGGGTTATATATTTTTTGACTGGGTTGGACCCTCCTAGAAAAAAAATCTGGATCCGCGCCTGTTCATCTGTTGGCGTTATGCATTCACTTCATGAACAATACTTAAGAGGTTTAAATAAAGTGGTTATAGATTTGGTAATTAATTTACAATTTATCAAAACAAGTGCCGTCAAACATCTTTGAATATGAATTTCGTATGACTTTCCTGTATGCATAGCAATGTATATACACAGGGTAATATTAATTACGCACGGCCCTTGTGTTTTGAATGATCACACAAGTAGCACCGGCTATTAAAACAGCCTATTTATTCCCCCTCCCCCCCCCCCAAATGAAAACTTAATATTCACTGTTTCATAACTTAACAGATTAATCAATACTGTGGATACAGCTAATATTTACACCGTGAATAATTTACCCCTCTGAATAAATCATTTTAAAAAGTTGCTTTTGATATAACAGGACAATATTACAGTATTGAGTAATTAGATACTTTTTAATCAAAGCAAATTAATAAAACTATAGCTAGCTATTTATCTCATAATTCAAACTTCTTAACAGGCCTATGATAAAATTTTCTCAAATTCTTAAGTAGTGTTTATTTTAGCGAATTTCTCCCCAATCATGTACATATAATACCTTCATTTAAATAATGATAACGTCATACCGTTACACAAACCGTTACAATATACATGTGTATATATAACGTCAAAAGTCATGACGTTACGTGGATTACACTTGAAAACAATACCAATTTCAAACGGCTATAAAAAGAAAATAGGAAAAGATATCATTAAAAAATAAATTGTGTCATAACCCACAAAGTCTAAACTATCACAGAATAAAATTTCATTTATTTTTGTGACAGGGCATATTTTGGCACTTCGTGGCTTTAGCTCTTTGGATGCTTTTTTTTCACAATTCATTAAAGATATTCCTTTAAATACTCTGTGGTCCCAATCAAATAATTTAACTTAATACATGTTTAATCAAATATCTACCCAGTTTTAAAAGGCAGACTTTTAGAAATGAATGAACACCAAAGAGACCCAAAATAGATATTTGGTCACTGTTTATTTATTTATTATTATTAAATGTCTTTAACATCCCTCTCGAGAATTTTTCACTTATATGGAAACGCCACCCTGGGACCAGTGTTATCTATCTTATTATTTTCGTTTCACTTCTACAGAATCAGAGGCCAAAGGATATCGAGGCTTTTCAAATTTCCCCTCAATCGCTTCATAGACAATCAAATAGTAATTAATAATTATATTTATCTGATGAAATTAGTATACGTAGAGACAAAAGATGGCGCTGGTCACGACTGGTCATGTCGCTCCACCTGAGAAAGCTTACATCGAATTACAGAATCCCGACGCCAATATAGACTTTGTAAGTACTCAATCTGGATGTATAAATGATTCGGCAAGTCATTTCAGCACCATTTGTGATCTAGAATGTGCTTATTCTCCCCAAAATACTGATTTCATTAATGCGCTAACTGGCGAGGGTATCGTGAGCGATATTCATGGTAGTGGAGGCCATACACCTTCACACACACATGGGTCTCAGTCACGTAAGCGGTCCAACATCTCTCCGAGCGGTCCAACATCTCACTCAGCGGTCAAACATCGATTTTTTTATGCCCGCTCAGCAAAACATTAAAAATGTTAGACTTTTTTCTGTATAGATTTGTATAGGAACAATTTTTTAAAGGTATAACAATTTAAGCAATTTACTTGATTAACTGAAACTTTCCTACGTAGCAGAATATTCGGTGTAAAAGATGAAGATAACGAACAGTTACCGATCTCTTAAATACTGTATACATGTACAGGGAAATTTTCGCCCCCGTTTTATTTTTTCCCCTCTCGCCCCGCCCTTCTTAGGGCGAATTTAAAACTGGACGAATTAAAAAGATTTAGTATAATTTCTTAAACAAAACTACGATTAGGCGAATTTAAAACTGGGAAAATTTGTTTTACCGTGTGAAAGGGCGAAAATAACCCTGTATACAGTAACAAAAACTTATAAAAACTACAAACAACATAGTTGTATAGTTATTGTGTACAATGTAGAGTATTTCTATTAAAAAGATAGATATCTGCAAATTTTGTTATTTCGTCTACTGGACTGGGGAGACCGGAGCCTGGTATAGATATTAATTTCAAATCTTAATCCTTTCACATTAAGGGTTTTTTTCTGCTAAATTTAAACGAAAATGCTTCGTACAGAACTAATTCGCTATGAAAGAAGATGTAATATTTTTGCAATCTATTACAGAAAAATGGCTAAATTAATGGTCAAAGTTGACCGATTTCATCATATGATTACGAATTGTGCTTGGGCATGTGTTATCAAAGATATTTGTACGTATAAAAACAAATAATTTTGAGTTTAGCTACATTTTGTATTGTATAACGCTTTCAATATTTGCAAACCTCATCATCATACAATATAAAAATTCACCGTGTAAAAATCTATTTACAGATAAAACTTTTGACGATCAAGCAATAAAATGGCCACTCCTCTGTCCTGGGCCCAAGAAGCAATTATGTGTGACCTTTGCGACATGTCCACAGAACAATTTTGTAATAACTGTCAGGTCAATTTATGTGCGGAATGTATCAACAAACATGTCAAAAATCAGAAGACATTGACACATGACATTGTTCCTTTTAAGAACAAAAAGACACACTTTAAATTACCAGAATGTAAATTTCACTCCAGTCAGAGATATGAGGCCCACTGTCAACAGTGCGATGTTCCAGTCTGCATGAAATGCGTAATCGATTTGCATAATGGACACATCATAAGAGACTTACCAAACAACTTCAATGAAAAGATAAAGGAAATTCAAAAAGAAAATAGAGAAATCGAATCAAGAATGATTCCTAAGTCTAACAAGAAAATTGAAGATGCAGAAAAAGATAAAGTTTTGGCTAAGGAAAAATATATTGATCTTGAAAAAGAAACAGAGAATCAAAGAAAAGTTTGGCATCAAGAAGTAGACAGCATCTTCAACAAATTCAGTACTTTGATCAAATCATTGAGAGATAACCATCAGACTATGCTGAAATCACACCAAGACAAACTTGAAAACTCTATTTCAGAAATGATCCAGACAGTACAACGAAACAAAGAATTGCTAGAGTCCTTAAAAGTGTCTGAGGTCTCCAATTATCAATCCAAACTGACAGAATACAGGGGCACTCCTGAAGCCATTGATGTTGTCCTTCCTTCATTGAAAACATGCACAGTAAAAGGGAAGGAATTTAGAATAGAGTTAGGAGAATACATGGTTAAATTGAGTCAGACATCTACTTCCAGTCTAACAGATGAAGATTCCCATCCCTCTACAAAAGAGTTACTAGACAAAGCCAGAGTAATTGCAACGATTCCTACTGGAGTTAACCTTTTAAATAGATTAGCCACTTTAGGAGCAGATAAAGTCTGGATTAGTGGTTTAGGTAGATTTATAAGATGTTTTGACAAACAGGGATCTTTACTGGATACCTTCACCACCTCATGTCAAATCCAGCCCAGTGACATCTCGGTAACCATTCAAGGAGACCTGATATACAGTGATCATGAGAATGGAACTGTTAACACTGTCAAAGACGGTAAAACAGAGGTACTGATCACCACACCAATGGACTGGAAACCAGCTGGATTAAGCTGTAGCAAATCAGGGGATGTGCTGGTCAATCTGTATAACGGAGATCAGAATAAGATTGTCCGATATCAGGGAAAGACAATCAAACAAGAAATATTCAAAGATGAAAATGAAGTAGAAATCTATGGAAGTGGAAACTTTATTTTGTTTATCGCAGAGAACAACAATGGTGACATCTGTGCATCTGATCGCAATGCTAAGGCAGTGGTCGTTGTAGACAAGGCAGGAAGAGTCCGATTCCGATACGATGGTTCACTAGCAAAAATGAAGAAACCATTTGATCCTAATCAGCTAGTGACAGACTCCATGAGTCAAATCATTGTAACTGATTGGACCAACGACTGCCTTCACATTCTTAACGAAGATGGAAAGTTTCTGAAATGTGTAGATGATTGTGAACTATCTAGGCCCCTTGGACTGAGTGTGGATGTTGAAGGAAATTTGTGGGTTGGATTATATGAAAAAGGAGACGTAAAGGTGATCCAGTACATGGAATAAGCAGAAAACACACACAGTAATGATGTTAAGATAATTAGCTTTTTATTTCCTTGTACAGATGCGTATTCACTAACGTTACAAATTAACAGTGTATTTGCTTATTATAAGTTGTCCATTTCTCAATCAGATTTCATAATCGCTGAAATATAGATACTTTTTCTGCTTGGCATTGTAAAAATTGCAACTTTTTAAACTCAATTATATCTTTAAATATTAATTTTTTGTTTAAATTTTGCAGTGAAATTCAAGATGCTCCTAAGATACTTTCCGAAAAAAAAATGAAAATAAATCACTGCATATTTCGTCATTCTATATGTTTTTATTTGGTCTTGCCATTTGTTCTTCAGAAAAAGTGCATCTCACCACGGCGTCCTTATTTCAAACATTCCCCTATCACTTTATCAAATGATAATTTTTCCTCCTTAAATACAGTGATCACAACAAGCACACAAAGAGGCTGCCGTGATACGCAAATCTCACACAGCTGTTAAGACATGCAAACTATCTATTAAGAAAGATATGGAGAAAACGAACATTATTCAACGTCAAAGTCCATAAAAAACTACAAAATAAGAGAAGAGCCACCATGGACCTCTGAAACATCAGAGGTGGGGTCAGGTGCTATGAGGGAAGTGAGCATCTCCTGCTGACCGGTCACACCTGCCGTGTGCTTTTTTCATAATCGGGAAATAACGGAGAAATCCATCGTCAATTCAGTGTATCAATAATGGACTAACAATTAGTAGGAAAAAGTCAGTCAGCATTTGACTCAATGATAAATTGTATTTGCTGACAAGGTAATTGTATTGGCCATAGAAATTGCGAAATGATGACATAATTAAAACGAGACTGTTGATATTCTTGGCTCATTAACTTGCTTGATAATAATTTACCTCGTTTTAGAAATTGTTCATACATAGAGCATGCTCTTGTGTATCGAATCAACTGATATATGTATAGCCCGTATGCAGGTGATGAGGGTATATTGCTGCAAAAGTAAGGAAGTTGACGATAGAAAAGTTAAAGTCATCAAGTTTATCATAGAGATCGGTTGTAAGATTATCATTAACGTCTTTTTCAAGTAAAATATCCAGGTTTGAAGCAGATGTGTCAGACTCTGTGGTATCTTTTATCCCAAGCTCACCAGGATATATCGTATCTACGTAGGAATGGAAATGACCATCGTTAATTGACAATGTGTCGCCGATATATCTAATTGTCGAGTTGAAGGCCACAGCAAGTGTTTTCTTCTTTTCAAGCGTTAGATTCTGCACAAAGTCTGCTTCATATGAATATAAAAAAGGTCTGCTAATATTGGAGGGCAATTGGTAACCATGGGAATTCCAATAGATTGTTGAAATATCTGGTCTCCAAAAACCACAGAGATATTGTCGTTCAGAAACTCAGGCATCTCTTTGATGTCAACTTCAGAGTACTTTTGCGTGCAATCAAAATGTAATTTAACAAAACAATTTTGCAATTGACCAGTGACGAGGTAAATAAATGTACGAGTTCCATTTTTATTAAAAAAGCAGCTGTCCATGATATCAAAAAGCCTGGACTTTGATTTATCGTGGAGAATTAAACTAATCCACATCTTATCGAGATAAGGAATAGACAAAGCGTGATCTGTAACTTCGCTACATTGTGCAAAATCAACCAAGATAAACTTCTTGTAGATATAGAGAAAAGCTGATTTTTTAAGAAAAAAAATGGGAAAAAGTATCACAAAGTAGTGTTCAGATGTCCAAATATTTTACATTTATTACATGATTAAATAATTTCCATCTCTCAGATTGGCTGGGATCCAACTACCTTTTATTGACCTGCACGTGACGTTCCACGTGAATACAAGGATTTATTTCCTCTACATTTATCTAAAAATAGATCGGGAAATTCCAAATTGATAAAAATTGTTTTGGAAGGTTATCTAAAGACTATGCCTTTTTTCATGTGAACAAAACGTAAGCGAATATATATTTTAGGGTGAGGGTGGTAAGAGGGGATGCAGAGACCCCCCTCCAACACTTTTACTGAACAACAATTTTTACTTTTTGACAGTCAGTTTTCCCTGATTATACTCCTTCCTTTCAAAATCTCTCCTATAAAAAAGTCTGACATATATTTTTTTTCATGGCAACTAAAATTGATAAATAACATTTCAAATTCATACGACTGGTAATGTTTATTTACATTTTAATTCGATTTTGTCGAATACATGTATTTGGCTAGGACTTAAGTAAATGCAAACAAGAAATACGCTGTATAATTTTGTCAGTGAATCATATAATTTAGACAAGTATTGCTGTTTTGTTTTGTTTTACTGTCAATACAATGATTTAGCAATCTGAGGAGTACAATATTCATTTTGCCCTTAGGGATCGTTGAATATTGTACTCCTCAGATGGCTAAATTATTATATTAAACTCATTCATTCATCATTTATTTCCTCTTTAAAGAGATACAGAATTAAGAATTAAGATAATAAACACATTAATCTATGTACAATTAAATTAACATTTTCAAATAAATGATAAGCATAAAGTGAAAAAGAGATACAAATGTCACATTTGCTCTATACAAGTCATATGCGCGAGAGCACTGTACATAGCCGTTGGTATTGTGCACATGCACGAACTAACAGTTTTGAGTTTAGAATCTTGAAGTTTCTCTCCTGAGATAAAGGTAAAACGGTTAGTGGTTCGCGTCCCAGGACAACCAGAAAGAGATCCATCTCACAAAGGCCACACAGTTCTGCTCCAAGGCCAATATGAAATGAATTGACAATTGTGTTCCACCATTCGTTGTGGCAGTCAGAGAGAGCACCGCAGGACAACGCTACGTGACAGAAAATGTCCTCATACATGGAATTGCACAGATGACAGGTTGAAAGACATTGGTATTTCGTTGATACAATTAACTTGCAAGTGAAGTTGAAGTTTCGAATATCACTTGCGTTATCCGCGAATGACCAGATGTTACAAGGTTTGTTGTGTTGAAAGACGGAGTTGAAACATTCAAAGTCGGGATCCATGAGCATTCGTACTTGTCGCTGTTGAATGTGGAAGTCGTTGATCGCGGAACGAACAATACTTTTCCAAGAATATTTATGCGGGAAAGTACCTGTGGTCATCCAGGTAACCAGGTAAGTGTGTATGTTGTATTTCCTGAGAATATCGATGATATCTGGAATAAAGCCCCTTGGATCTGCAACCAGCTGTGTCAGGAAGGAGAAAAGTCTTGAGATGAAGATTTGTTTTGAGAGGCACAGAGCGCTCATGTTGCATAGCCTTCCGAAAAACAACAGTTTTCTGGCGTCGATTTCGGCATGGATGGGGAGTATATCCATAAGCTGTTCACACATGTCAGATCGAGTGAGCTTCGGCAGATTTAGGACAGCTTTGCAAACCCCATGTTGAAAGGTGCTTAAACGCCTGTGATCCTCTTGGGTTAAACTGCTCCACAATTCACACCCGTAGAGTACAGATGGAAGGACAATCGTTTTATAGAGATGAGCCATAGTAAGAGGATTAACACACGAGATATCGATGTCAGATAGGCCATAAAAGGATTTCCACCCTTTGTTGCATGCGTTCAAGATGCGGTCTTTTGTTTTTGCTTTGTCATTTATTATAATACCCAAATGATTGTATTTTTGGCCGTATGGTATTTCAGAGATCCCAAGACGTATTGGTTTATCCGGAGCACTATTGTGTTTGGCACGGAATTTTAGAACGCAGGATTTTGATACGTTGAATGTAAAGCGCCATTTGCATGCATATGCGTAAGCTATATCCATCATGGACTGAAGATTTGCTGGGGATGTGGCGATGCAGGAAATATCGTCAGCTAGAGTAGGAGTCTCAGGCGCTTGTCTTTAACTCTGTCCCGGTCAGTCCCGAATTTCAAAATCTGGATACCAAGCTTCAAAATCTACCAAAAGATCTTTATGTGCAAAAGTTATTAGAGCTGACCTCCAGTAATGAACATATCATTATAGACTACAGATCATCTCTCTGTTTAAGAGCTAAAACCATGGAAGGATGTCCCTCGGGCAACCTTACGACACGAAAATCAACCAAACTCAATTCTAGTGTAGCAAAATACCCAAAAGATTGCTTTGCATTG